TTTTTTAAAATACCAGGCAATCACTAAAACTGCCCGAAACCGGGATCTAACCGAACAATTACCAATTAGATTGCCCGGATTTTCCAACATGGTATTATCCCAAAGCAAAGAGTACTCTTCATGATAAAATACATAAAGAAAACTTGAAGATGCTGCGGTAGTCATTGAGCACCCGGTGCAATCAAAGTAAAGCGCACCTTGAAATGATGTCAAAAGATATTATTTTATATTGGAAATATTTGTGATGGTCTGAAAATTTATTTTTATATTTAATTATAAAAATTAAAGCTTTTTAAAAAAGCATAGATTGTGTATGTCTATCAATACGCGGTAACCTTGAAAATTGACAGTCTAGAAAATGCATTGCACGATACGTTGTTATTTTCAAGACTTAAAATCAAAATTATTTCATGTTCATACATCTTGAGGTCGAGATGATTGATTTGAGGATTTTTTAGCATCGAAACAATCTCTTCTAATGAATTTTTTAGTTTTGACTTTATTTGATTGTATAGAACCTCACCCTTATATAAACTTTTTCCTTTAATATATTCATATTTACTGCCACTCTAACACTGCGGCATTTAACATTCTCCCCAATTCCATTAGGTTCCTGCTATCTTTTCCAAAATTTATTTATTTTTCCTCGTCTATGCCATGCTGTTAGAATCTTGTTGAAATAAAAAGGTGTGATCAAAATCAATACACAACCCATAAGGTAATGGGTTGTGTATTTTTAGAGAGACATTTTTAAAGAGAAAAGCTATCTAAAACTTTAAATTTGATATAGAAATTATTTTAGGTAGTTTTTCTCTCTAAAATTTGATATAGTTTCACTCTCTAAAGTTTTAAGATGCTTTCTCTCTAAAACTTGAAATTTGATATTATTTTTCTCTCGAAAATTTTTGAGATAGTTCTCTCTTTAAAAAGTTTCAAGTTGTGTCTCTCTCTAAATTTTGACGTAGTTTCTCATTCTAAAACTTAAAATTTGATATAGTTTCTCTTTCTAAAAATTTTAAAACAGTTTATCTCTAAAAAATTTTAGTAATTTCTCCCTCTAAAATTTGATATAGCTTTTCTATCTAAAGTTCTAAGATACTCTATCTCTTTAAAGCTTAAAACTTGAGACAATTTTCCTTTAAAAATTTTGAAATGGTTCTTACTCTAAAAATTTAGGTATTTTCTCTCTCTAAAATTTTAAGATTCTTTCTTTCTCTAAAACTTGAAATTTAAGATGGTTTCTCTCTTAAAACATTTTGAGAAAGTTTTTCTCCCTAAGTTTTTTTAGATATTCTCTCTCTCTCTCAAATTTGATATTATTTCTATCACTGAAATTTGATATTATTTCTATCACTGAAATTTTAAAATACTTTCTCTCTTTAAAATTTGAAATTTTAAAGCAGTTTCTCTCACTAATTATTTTTTGATATTCCTCTCTCTAAAAACTTTTACTTCTCTTTTTCCCCATTATCTATAAAAATTTATGCCCTTCCCTAAGTTTTTATGCAAATTCTTTCACTCAAAATGAGCATACATGTGTGATTCTCCTAGAATTGTCACTTATAAATAGAGGGGTGTTTACTCTCTCTAAACGAACTATTTCTCACCTTAGAGCACACACGTGGGTATCTGACATAAAGACGCCCTTATAATCGGGCAAAACGCCTCCCAAATTGTCTATACACCTAATTTATCGCTATCTAAATGGCGATGCACGAAAGAGACGGGGCGGGCGCATAAGCCCAACCGGTTTTTGCGTAGTGCCTTTTTTTTTCATGAGTTGGCCGGCCCAAGTTTTGGAATGCCTTTGTTGGTACACAAAAATTTTTGTGTACCCACAAAGATATTCCAAAAAAAAGGCGCTACGTAAAACCCGGTTCTAAAAATTACCAAACATGGTTTTTTTTCTTTCTTTTTTCATAATAATATGGGTATACAAAATCATGTTTTATTTACCCTTGGATTCAAACGAACCCTTAGGTTTTATAACATTAACAAGCACAAAGTCCATGAGACATTATAATAGCTCTAATATTTTTTAGTTTTGTGAGCCTTGGGGTAGATTGACGCCCAAGATAACGGGTCGGAGCAGTCCAATATTGAAAAATATTGTATTGGATATAATATCCAAAATCATCACAATAAAGAAATCATTTGATAGTGATGAATACCCTAAAAAATAAAGGTGCGGTGTGTATACAGCCTAGGCTCCAAAGAATTCAATTAGAACCCACCTTCAAATAGTATCGAAAAAAGTGGTTTCAATACCGAAAATATTAGTAATAGTCTTAAAATATATTTTCGTCTTTATTTATAAAGTTTATAGCTTCAAAATAATGTAGATTGACAGATCTATCAAAACTTGAAATCCATTTTTTCTCATGTTCATGCATCTTGATGTCGAGATGATCAATTTGAGGATATTTGGGCATCAAAACAACCTCTTCTAGTGAAATTTTTGATATAGGCTCTAATTTGATTGTTTTTAGAGCCTTGGCTCTATATAAACTTTTCCCAAAAATAAAAGTTTAAAAAGATTAAGTCTCTGGGCTATATCTCTTAGTTTTTGAGATGTATGCGACGTCCATAGGTATATCTCTTAGTTTTTAGATATATGTGCTAGAGGAAATTTGCTATTTGGTGTAGAGTCCTAATCTATATAAAATGAATAAGACAGTGAAGAATATGTATGCCCTCTTTGGGGTTACCATATGTAAATGTAACTTCCTCTTTAGAGAGAGGTAGGCATCTTGTTTATGACGGGCAAGACCTTCTTTCGAAGAAAAGTGAGCTAACATTGTAATGATGCCTCACGTAAACAAAGAGGCAGGTTTCTCGTAATGAAGTGGATCCTATAGATATTTTGTGTGATTTTGGTTGTTAGTGAGACAGTCTTAGTTGCTTCTAAGGTGGTCTTCCTTGATAGTGGTTTAGTTGTGGAGTAGAGATAGTTAGTTATGGAATAAAGATGCGAGATAGGTAGGTGATGTTGGTAAGGAGAGTGGGTATAAAAGGTTTGTTTGATTGGGTTTTGTTGAGGGTTAGAAATGCAGCTTCGTGTCTTAAAATTTATGATGTAACATTCATCGGTATAGTGGATTTGTTTGATTGGGATTTGTTGAGGGTTAGAGATGCGGCTTTGTATCCTAAAATTTATGATGTAACATTCATCCTCATAGTGGATTTCAGTTTCATTTGGGTGAACCACGTAAATCTTTGTCTGCTTGTGTTGCGTGCTTTAATTCTTGCATTATGATTTATATTTTCACTTATTTTGTTTCTAGCTAGTAAAGTATACGATCCTGTTGGGATCTAACTGCGGGATTCATATTTCTATATCTAAGAGGGTTTCCTCACACATCAAACAGCCCCATATTTGAATTTTTTTTCCATATAGAATGGTTCGATGCCTTCTTAAACAAATTACTCTTAAGATTAAAAGGATAGAAATTTCCGGTGATCCGGTTATATGTGGCATCCAACATTGGACCACCCCGTATTTTGGTTTTTACATGTATAATACGGTATGCCTTACTACAATGCGGAGGTCAATAGTGGGAAAGAGTTCCTTCAGAACTAGCAAATGTTCAATTCCTCAATGATGTATCTTATAAAAAGAATAAGAATAAGTGCATGAGCAGAACATAGAGCCGTATCAATTAGTGATAGGGCTTACTACGATATGGATGTCAAAAATGTATATAATACCTTATTAAAAAGAGAAATAAGGGGCAGTCCGTTATTGGAGATATCAAATATCCCCAATTCTTTTTTCTTTCTTCTTGGACACATTGAATCCGTCCACACTCGCAAAGAAAAAATAAAAAATCCAAGTATAGGGTTGGACCGATACTTCCAATATCGGATCTGGTATTTTATTTTGAGTTTTGGATACAATAAGACATTTACCGTTAGGTATAAAAATGTCACAATTACACTTGAATGTAGCTAGAAATGCCTTTTCTCCACACAAAATCTGAATGTTTCTCGAACTTCAAAAGCAACACTCTCAAACACTCAGTTTCAGACGTAAAAGCTTGAGATGCTTGTTACTTTACTAGGTAAACGGCCTTATGTATATTTCACCTATAGTCAGTGGTTCTATAGTCAGCGGTTCCCTCTAATAGGGATTATTGTTTCTTTTACTGGATGAGCGAAAGACTCAATAGCTAACGAGCAAACATTAGCATTGGGTGCTTTACCTGAAGTTATTCTTTTGCCTGACAAAGTAAATGTATAGTATGCTTCTGCAGGAGTACAATATTTGTGCTCTTACTCAGATGACATGTCATTTGTTTACCATAATAGCACATGTAAAACTGAACTTTACCACTTTACTATAAATCAATATTCATAAAATTGCAAGTTTGATTGACCGTCACCTGAGCCTAACCGGGCCAGTAGTCACCAACTTCAAGTACCTCCACGTAATCGCCATTGAGAAGAGTTTAGTAATTTAAAAAGCAATGTATTTAAGAACATTTATTAATAAAGTGGAATGATGGACAAAGATTTGTGTAGCTGATTTCAATTAATTGAAAAAAAACCATGATAATGATAATAATTTAAGAACATTTGCTAGCTTTGTTTAAATAGATTAAACTCTTTAATTTTTGCTTTCATTCTTTAACTTTACAATTTTTTAAAGATCATTATAAACCATAAATACAAATATATTCACATACCCATTTGGGAGGAGGCAATACACATCTTCCTTTTCCTTCCAAGATGCACTTTTTGAATAGCTTCATTGTCTATGTTGAAGAAAGTCTTGAGGCCTCACACAACTCTTATTCCGATTCGGCAATTTAATTTGTAGGCTGCAAGCCTACGTATGCTTTCTTTGTGGTAATGATAGGGTTCAAATCACACACATTAGATGCATCTTGGCAAATCTCATAAGTGGTAGCCCCACGCCTGTATTCCCCTCGATTCTGCCCTCTTCTGCAACAAGCATCGTGGCCACTGTCAAACCCTAAGGAGCACAAGGAATGAAGTTAAATTTCTTTTCCTAACTTCGGAGGGGAAGTATAAAAAGCTTTCTCATTAATAAAATCATTACACTACCTCAATAAAAGAAAAGTTGTTAAGTATAAATATTAACAAATTAGGTATTTTTGGACGATATTTTCACTTAGGTATCTCTTTTAATGTTTCTGAAAATTGCATGAACTTTTTTTGTTCATGATTTGGGATCTTAGAGCATTTTGGGTAGTTTAGCCTCAGCAAGATAATCCAACAATACTCCGAATTTCCTTGGGTTACAATAAATCTTGACCTCAATTTTACATCCAATTTCAGATCCAACGGTCAAGATCTATTGTGACCCCCCTTGTACTATTCATTATATACTTTTTTTTTTTCTTTTTTTTTTTTTCTAATTATTTTATAAGTGTGACTGGTCAATGGAACTAATTTTGACTTTCAACTAAATCCCTCGTCCAACCTAGATGTACAGGGGCACTCAAAAAGCCTAAACTCTTACCACGCGGTTCATTTCTCTTTTCATTTTCGAGTACACCACTGCAGGCTTCTTTGGTGATCCATAGTGGACTACGCTTTTCATGGCGTACACCGGTTCTGCAACATGCATAAGTGTCATGCTCACCTTATTCTTGTTCTCGTTCTCTTCAAATTTAATGAAGAATTTTGTATGGGTTCAGGCCTTGCAGGGAAAGAGGAGCAGTGAGCCCTTATCTCCCGTTGGAAAGGTAGGTACCCTTTTTCTTCTTCTTTCTTAATTTATATTTTATTAATTTGGGTTGAGAATATTCATGTTCAAATCATGAAATTGTGATTTCTATGAAATGTTTACCAGGAATCAAAGTTTTTAGTATGAATGTATGATACTTATAAAAAGATTTTTAATGAACTTATTTTGTGCCTTAGTCATTAAGAATTCTCTTGGTTTTAAAATTTGTTAATTGTTCTATTATTCATTTAGGATGGTTGAGCAAGTATTTAGTATTCAGTTGATAATATCATTAAATTAACAATGACCCATGAAATCAGTTTTAGCATTAATAAGTTTAATTGTATTATTTGGTCTTAGTAGTGATTATTTTGGGATAGCTGCTTATCTAAGCAGGATTATTTATGCTGGTTATTTGTGTTCTGTGAGGCAGGGATTAGGGAACAGTCAGATTAGAGGGTTTTGGTGATCGGATGGTTGCTAAAGTACTATATGAACATTGGTTATGAGGGTTGCTTAAATCTTCTAAGAAAAATGGGTCTTTGTCTTGTTTTACTCTGGAAAAGATTAATTGGGTGATAAGAGGACAGTTGAATCCTTTGGAAAATTGTGAAACAGTAAGTAATGTTTCAATACTATGTTTTGAGGCCCATTTTCTTTGATGGTCATTCTGAAAATTATGAATTGAAGCTGTGAGAAAAAAAAACTTACATTTTTTTTTTTTTTGGGGGTGATGGGGGATTTTATATTTTTATGAGTTAAATATAACCCACAAGACCAAACTTCAATTTCTTTAGTTTTAAGCTTGATATTGTTGGGTCTAGTTAGAACTAGTCTGAGCCCCTATTAATGTAACGACGCACATGAATTAGAGGATCAAAACATATGTTTTGCAATAAGAGGAGTTTATAAAGTTGGTTGTTCTTTTTTTTTTTTTTCCCCCCCAAAATCTTAGAAGAAATTCAGAAAAGCTTGGCATAGGTAGAGGATTAACATTTTTCCAGCGAGTAATGGGGAGCTTAATAAACTTGGAAGTCTTCCAAAGTTGTGCTGAACCCAGAAGGTTTTTGCACATCAGAGGAAAAACTTACCGGAATGTTCGGAAAATTCCCAAGAGCAGATAACTTTGACCGAATCTAGGAAAACCACATGGAATTAGAGCCATAAAAGCACAAATTTTCATCAATATTTCTCACAAGTTATTAAATTTGAAAGAAGGATTTTCTAGAGCTTGGTATCCCAATATGGGATTTTTTTAAGTCTTCTGCTCAGTAGACATCAAGAACCTTCTCAAAAGCTTTTGCCAAGCCATGTAAAAATCGTTCATATTAAGCCTTTCTCTGCACAGTAATCTTTTTTGTTGAACTTTAAGAAGGTTGAAATGGAAGTCTGACAATGTAGCTTAGTTTGAACTTTGAAACTTCAAAGTTTAAGTTACATATTGTATGCAACCAAGTGGAATTCTTTGTGGAATCCTTAATTAAATAATGCGTCAATTGAATTATAGTAGCTAATGGCCAATTTTATTTGGTTCCATTTTCTTTGCTAGCTAAGCTTCAATGCTGGGCCATGGCTTTGCTTGCGTTCTACAAACTGACCAATTAACTACATTGAAAATCTCATTGATTCCTGATGTTGAAGTTGCTAATTCAATTTTAAATTGATGGGCACAGCAGTTTATATTTCTAGCTAGGGAAAAAAATTTTTTTAAAGGAAAACACAAAGAATATTGCCGCTTTTCTTGCATTCCTTTTAATTTACCCAGTAAAGTTTGCAATTCTGCATCTCTTCTTTGCTATGCATTTTTTTTATGGAGTTTACTGCTTCTTGCTTGACCAGGAGAATGGGGAGTGTCTTGCTGCAAATGAAACCATGACATCCAATGAAGATGATGATATATCAAGCCTTAAAACAGCTTTGAGGTTCTTGGATGTTGATTTCTTTAACGATTCAAAGGTAAAGTTGAACAGATAACCTTTTATCCACAAAACAAAAGAATCAATTAAAGGCAATGTGTTACACGTGTAATTGTTCATTTGCTTGCCGTTTTGCTTTTGGTCAGCTCCGGGAAATGGTGAAGGGTGCAGAGGAGTTAAATGTACCTGCTTTTAGAGACATCCGCAAGCTAGTTGCTTCAACCAATGGGGGATTGCATGATCCATATCCATTAGTTTTCCACCCAAGCTGGGTAGGTGCTAAGGGAGTGCCTTCAAATTGTGAACTATACAAATTCCCAAGAATCTCTGGTGTACAAAGGCCCCAAAGAAATGAGGATATCGCTTTCATGACTGTAAATCTCCACCTCTCTCTCTCTCTT